CAAAATATTAATGAAAATAGAAAGCAAAGCCCTAAAAAACGCATGGATGGAATACATTTAAAATAACAAAATTTCGTTTATCACTGTGATTCTCATAGCATAGAACCCAGGTCAAAAACTTGGGCAAGTGTAGTGCATGCTTGGATATTGAAGAATATCTGCAAATGTAGATTCCCAGTGATCAGAAAGCTGAAGGATAGGCCAGAAAGTTTAATAAATATTCTTAATTAATCCTGTGGACTAAAAATATATACTCACATGGCTGAGTCAAGAGTGTAAAGGACTTGTTGAGACAGAAGTTAATAAGCAGCATGGAGAAGCAATGTTTTTGAGTTAATGACTGAAACCTTGAGATGGCATCTTATTTAGAAGATTTGTATTTGATATGTGTTTATATTATATATATTTTAATAATGCTATATGTGTATACAGGTACTATAATTCTCTTTTTATCAGCTCTATATGTTACTTAGTTTTTATTTTTTTCAAATATATTCTTTCCAATTAAAACACCATCAATAGTCTTTTTTAATTTTAATTTTTATTTTAGAGATGGGGGTCTCACTTTGTTGCCCAGGCTGGAATTCTGCAGTGGTGGGATCATAGCTCACTGCAACCTCCAGCTCCTGGACTCAAGAGATCCTCCCACCTCAGCTTCCTGAGTAGTCAGAACTCAGGTGCATGTCACCATGCCCAGCTAATTTTTACTTTTTTTTTTGTAGAAATGCATTCTCATTATGTTACCCAGACTAGTCTTGAACTCATGACCTCAAGTGATCCTCCTGCCTTGTCTTCCCAAAGCACTGCAATTACAGATGTGAGCCACTGTGCCCAGCCCATGAACATCTTTTTATTTAAAAAAAGCTTTGATAGTTAATTTTCTTACAAATTTGAGAAAAACATTGAAAATATATCCAACTTGCTCACTGAAAACTCCCAGAGACTGAATGAATACATTGCCCAAAAGACCATTTTCCCTTCTCTTGTTCTCACTGGTCCTTACTTACTAACGCAGTTAATAAGTGTTGGGAATATAGAGTCAGAGATGGAAGAAGTATTAAGGTCCTTAAAAAAGAAAAAATGACATAGGCCTATCAAACGTGTTAACAGCCAGGTGCCTACTACCGTGGCCTTTTGTCCCCAGAAATGGTTGCTGAGCTGCGTTTCCAAGGAAGCCACAAGGTATTTTGGCTCACATTTATCTGGCCAAGGCCTCAAGTGCTGGTTGCTCAGGTAGGAGATCAGGCAGACACCTCAGAGACTTCTACTGGGATCTACTTCTCAGGGTTGCTGCTTGTCAAATAATCAGCCTGAATATTTTCCTCAATGAAAACCTTCCTAACTATTCCACAATTTGGCATTTCCTCTTCTGTGTTGATGTGCTTCCCAAGCAATTTGTACATTTGTCTATTAAAACACTTACTACATTGCAGTACAACACAATACCTGGCACATATTAGGAAATTGCATAGATGAGTAAATAATCTAAAGAAAATAACTTTTTGAGTAGCCGAATGTGATTACCCTAGACTCTAAGAGATCTCCCAGTCAACCTAGGCTATCAATGTCAACTGGATGGCTGTTTACTCACTAGAACAAATCTATTGAATGCCCCCAGTTTCATTTGCTTTTGCTTTTTATGATTAGCCATTGTATCAAGACCCTCTTGACCTTGAGTTTTTTAAAAAAATATAATTCATTCATGTGAGAAGAAATGAGATCATTGCCCACAAGGTCCTGAATTCTTAAGATAAATTTATAAAATATAAATTCTGTACAATAAATTTATATTAGAGGTAATATTTTGATATTTACGTCCCTACTAGCAGTTGGAAAAGTATTTTTAATAGTCTTTTTTTTTTAATCTGTCTCCGTACAGACTGTCAAAAACTATATTGCAAGTCGTCACGGCGGGGAGTTGGGAAAAGTTTTCAATTAGCAATAATCGTGCCTCGAATAAACCTCATTGGCTACGATACTGCCAATGCACAAAGCTTATTTTTATTAGTCTTTAAGGCTGTTTAGATATTGATGAAACATAAGGAGAAGAAAATGCCATGTTAAATGCTTAATAATTAAGTATGTACTCTACTTGTGTCCTAACTTTGACCATGCTGTGGAATAAAATAGACAACTATCTTGTATTATTTAAATTTGCTTCCTATTTTAGTGTTTAAAGAATAACTTTACATGTGCATTTAAACTTTTTTTTTTTGACATGGAGCCTCGCTCTGTTGCCCAGGCTGGAGTACAGTGGTGCAATCTCGACTCACTGCAAACTCTGCCTTCCAGATTCAAGTGATTCTCGTGCCACAGCCTCCCAAGTAGCTGGGATTACAGGCATGCACCACCACACCCAGCTAATTTTTGTATTTTTATAGCCACAGGGTTTCGCCATGTTGGCCAGAGTGGCCTTGAACTTCTGACTTCGGGTGATCTGCCTGCCGTGGCCTCCCAAAATGCTGGGATTACAGGCATGAGCCACCATATCTGGCATTAAACATTTTTTACCATTAAAAAAATTCAACCCATCTTTTTGTATTACTTCCTTTTTTGAATTACAATATATACGGTAAAAATTACATAATTTATGTCTTAATTATGTATTATATTTCAAAAATTTTATTCTAACTTTTAAATAATATCCTAAGCTCTTTGAAGAAAGGAATAAGATTGGATCTCTTTTGAATACTATACTTTGCCTAGGACTTAGTAAGTACTAATGCATTGCCTTGACTAATAAACAATGGCTTCCATTTGCTGAGTCTCATGCTATACACTGTGTGTGTATGTGAGTTTGTGCTGTATGTATCATATATAACCATATATATAACGATATATATGTGTATGTGTATATAGTAGGTATACGTATAATATCATTTAATCCGCACGCCACCTGATGAGGAGAGTATATTCTGTCCTCATTTTAGAGATCAGGAAAACAAGGCTTCTAGAGGAAACGTAGCTCAGATAATCTGTTTAAGAAGCAGGACTTGAACTCATGTTTATTTTGGCTTTGAAATGTTAATTTTTTAGTATACAATCTCCTAGTCTTCTTATTTCTTTCTTCTTTCTTAAGAATTAGTTAGTTGCTGACTCTTTGGGGAAGGTAGAAGGAAGTTTAAAACGTCATAGAACATTTTGACCTGTTGTGTTCTGGAAATTAGGACTAAAGTGTGTCCCTTTAGAAGAGAAAATATCAGAATTGACATCAGATTAATGGCTTGTGGGGAACAGAGGTGGAGATTGTTACATTCTGTCTTTATTTTTGTGCAGCTGAAACTGATCAGTACAAGTTCAAAAAATGTATTTATCCTGTAGGAAAGCAAATAGAAGGGATGGATCTAGAGATTCACATTGATGGATAGCCGTGGACTCTGCTTTTGAGCCTGTGCTCCTTATGGGCATTGGGAGTGTTTAAATATAGCTCTTGTACCTGGATTAGCCTGCACAGGGAGGTGGCCATGGAAGCTCTCCCCACAATCAGGAAATCTTTTTGATAATGGTATAAAAATAACTGCCAACAGTTGTCTTGTGTTTTTATTAGTAGCTCTGCCTAGGGACAGACTCTGAATAAGTGAATATTAAATAATAAGCTTAACAAACTTTTGAATATTTCAGCACTCAAAAATCAGTGGCCAGGCATTAAGAATCAGTCGTTGCCCATCCAGGTTATAACATGGGCTAAAACAGAAGAGAAAAAAATAATTCTAAGCTTCTTTTACAGTAATTTGGGAAATAAAACTAAGAGGTCTAAAGCTGGGTGCGATAGTGCACCTGTAATCTCAGTTCTTCTGGAGGTAGAGGCTTGAGGATCCCTTGGTCCTAGGAGTTTGAGACCATCCTGGGCCTGGGCACCCAGTCTTGGGCTGGATCTGGTGGCTCATGCTTGTAATTCCAGCACTTTGGGAGGCCAAGGCGGGCAGATCACTTGAGGCCAGGAGTTCGAGACTAGCCTGGCCAGCATGGTGAAACCTCATCTCTACTAAAAATACAAAAATTAGCTGGTTGTGGTGGAGGATGCCTGTAATCCCAGCTACTCAGCAGGCTGAGGCAGGAGAATCACTTAAACCTGGGAGGCGGAGGTTACAGTGAGCTGAGATTGTGCCATTGCACTCTAGCCTGGGTGACAGAGTAAGAATCTCTCTCTCAAAAAAAAAAAAAAAAAAAAAAAAAACCCAAAAAAGAGAAAGAAGGGAAGAGAAAGAAAGAAAAAAGAAAGAAGGAAATAAAAAAAAGGAAGGAAGGAGAAAAAAATCTATGTCTAAAGTTCATATAAGTTTTTTTTTCCTGTGTCTTTTCTATCTTTAATCTAACAAATGACTAAATTGATTTGTCTAGAGGCAATGACAAGGTGGGGAGTGAGAAAGAAGTGTAGAAAAGCTGGCAGGTAATCAACAAAAGGGAAAATAAAAAGGAAAATTATATTGAATAAGCTGAACTACACACAAGTAGAGTAATAAAACTGCATCAAAGCTATGTTAATATTGAAAGAATCCGTGAAATCAAAGTTGTAGATGAAACTTGTTTGCTTAAGTCTGGAAGCTAATGTACCATTAATTAAGATGCAAATGATCTGACGTGCTTTCTGAACTCTACCAAAACTCTTTTATTTTTATTTATTTAGTTTTTGAGACAGGGTCTTGCTGTGTTGCCCAGGCTGGAGTGTAGTGATGTGATCATAGCTCACTGCAACCTTGAACTCCTGGGCTTAAGCTATCTTCCCATCTCAGCCTCCCAGGTAGCTGGGACTACAGGTATGCACCATCACACCTGGCTAATTTTTAAACTGTTTTGTAGAGACAGAGTTGTGTTATCTTTCGGTGTTTTCCAGGCTGGTGTCAAACTTGTAGTTTCAAGTGACCTTCCCACATTGACCTCCCTAAGTGCTGGGATTATAGGTGTGAGTCACTGTCCCCAGCCAGAACTGTTAATTTTGTATCCGTGTTAGATCTAGTTCTAGTTTAATAAACATTAGTTGAGCTCCTTCTGTTTTCCAGATGTGACCAGATGTTGATGACCTCACGTAAGCTGTGGAAGAATTCCGTTGTAGCTGGGGAGACAATAAGTAAGCAGATTCTTTCACTGTAATAAAACAGGATGCAATAAAATAAAACATTATTACAGAAATTATTTCTAATGTAAAAGAAAAAAGTGTTTAAAACCAATTAAAACTATGTAAATGGCCAGATGATGAGCTAGGATTCTCAAAACTGATAAATATAATTCTGAGTTCTGCCTCTGCCTTTGTGTGACTGAGCAAATTATTTATTTTATTTATTTTAGAGATGGAGTTTCATTCTTTTGCCCAGGCTGGAGTGCAGTGGTGTGATCTCGGCTCACGGCAACCTCCACCTCCCAGCGATTCTCCTGCTTCCGCCTTCCGAGTAGCTACAGATTGCAGGTATGTGCCATCACGCCCGGCTAATTTTGTATTTTTAGTAGAGACAGGGTTTCTCCATGTTGGTCAGGCTGGTCTCAAACTCCCGACTTCAGGTGAGATCCACTCTGAGGTAAGATCCACCCTAAGGTCGGGAGTTTGAGACCAGCCTGACCAACCCCCACCTCAGTATTACCCCCTTAGAAATCAATTGGCCTTCCAAACAGGTTTCTCCTTTTCATTTTCCTTTCTCTGCCACAACCCCATACCAACAATCCCAGCCTCAACCTCCCAAAGTGCTGGGATTACAGGCGTGAGCCACTGCACCTGGCCAAATTACTTTATTTGTAAAAGACTCATATATAAAATATAGGCACTAAAAATACATACATCATATAGTTATTTGGAAACTCAGCCACTGTTACATGTTAATTATTATTAGAGTTAGTTATTAGCTATTGAATTAGTACTATTTTACCATGATTACACAAAACCATGGAAAATAATTACATCCAGGCAGATCATAGAATGCCTTGGCTTTATATACTGTGGTTTTATCAAATATATATTTAGTCTTCCAAAATATACAATGTTTGCAGAAAAAGAAGCTTGTGTTTTTCCATTCAGACGTTTTGACATTATATAGACTCTAATGTTTATGTTTTGTTGTCAAGATGCAATTAGAATCTTCCAAATTATCATCCACAGTGTTCAAAGTTATTTATGCTCACGTTAGATTTGACACCACACATTTATTAGTCACTTCAGTGCTGTTACAATTTTTGTATCATATAAAATTTGATGCCAAAACCTTTAGTAGATGTGTTCAATAAGAAAAAGCTATACAGGAAAGTTTCATCCAGGTTAGTCATCTCCCATCAATGTACTTCTTTTTGGTACAGTTAATCTCTGTCTCCTTCAGCCTCTACCATCAAACACCTCTGGCAAGGTCATCTCTCCGGCCCTGGAGACATTGCCCTACCCTGCTGATTCCGTAAGGAATTTGGTATTACAGTGCCTGGCCCTGTCCTCAGGCTCCCTGGTCACCTCTTCTCTCTGACTTTGGACCTGTCTTAGCATTCCTTAAATCCACCCAGTTATGGTTGGCTCTTCCTTGGTCCCAGCTGACTCAGTCCCAAGATCCTCCCCCAACATTCCTGCCGGCCTCAGAACCAGCATCTTTGCTCTTGCTTTTTTTTGCTTCTAACCAGGCATTCTTCTTGCATCAATCTTTGTTTCCAAGAATTTCTCATGTAGTGTCGATGCTCATGTTCTATGGGAAATACACCCATATCTTCCAAACTTGTTAACTTCATTTGATTCTTTCCAATTTTGTAAAGACTCATTTTGTCTGAGAAAAGCTTTTATAGCCTCCCTTGTCCCTTAGGTATGACTCATCAATGGAATCTCCCTGCTTTTCCTTAAGTGTTAGAGTCTAATGTAACCCCACTGGGAATTTTCATAACTTCTTGTCAGCTCTGAGGTTTACAAAATTGTTGAGCTCACTTCCTCATTTCAGTGATTGTAGAACTAACCCCAACACAGAACCAAAATTTAGGGTGGCTGTCATTAGGATGATTTCTAAACAAAAGTGTGAATAATGTTGCTTGCCTGTCAGAGAATTTATTCACCACTTTCCCCACCCCAGAATTACCCCCTTAGAAACCAATAGGCCTTCCAAACAGCCTTTTCCCTTTCATTCTCCTTTCTCTGCCACAACCCCATCACCAACATTTCCAATCCCCTTGCACTTTTATTAGTCCATGAGGCCTCTTCCTGAAGGTCACACTAAGTGTTAACAGTAGTTTAGTGACTTTCTCCAAACCCACTAGGAGTCTTTAGAAAAGCAAGCAAATACACTTTTAAATGGTAAGTGAATGAGGCAGGAGTATTTGCCCTTTAAGTAGGGGAATTTTGTGATTGGGGGCATGTAGGTAGAGAGTGAGTGTGAGAGGTTTAGTGCTTTGCTGTACCCATCTAACACCTGGATCCAGGCCCATATTTCCTTCACCGATTGTGCCAGATGTTTCATATGTTCTTCCAACAGTACCAGTACTGAGCAACAGTACTCAAGTTTATCTAGAAACGCAAGTTACCACCACATCCAAGTAAAAGAACCGTCATCTCTGTTCAGCCTTGTCTGTATTCCTTGGAATCTTCCCCACATTGCATATCTATCTTGGAGGAAGACATGTTCTCTTCCCTTTATGTAACCTTGTTCTCTTCTAGAGAAATAGCTCTATATTAAAGACACTTGAGGGAAAATGACATTACTGAGGAGATGATATTTAGCTGTCCCCTCAAAGCCAATAGGCAGTGATCCAAAAAAATTTACGGAAATAGAAATAACTCTTTGTAAGCTAACCAAACAGTGGCCTGAACTCTTTTACATTGTGACTTCTTATGAGTGCTTAGTTTAGTTGACTGAAGATCAATCTTGAAATTAACAGGCTATTTTGGATTATAACAAGATTATTTAGAGACTCAAACTTTCCAGAGTTCCTTTTAGATGACTTCCATCATGACAAGCAAACTAAAAGGTCAGTGGTCCCAAAGTGGGGTACACATGATTATTAAGGTACAGAAAAAGGAAATAACAAAAATATATAAATATATTATTAATAAATATCATATTTTAAAAGATGTACTTTTGTGAATGACCTATTTATTATTCAAAATGTATTAATAACAATTATGTAATTCATAAATTAAAATGTAGAGATATGGTAGTGGTACATGCTCAATTTTTTTTAACTAGTAAGAAGGTGGGATCAAATGAGTGAGAGTCTACTGATTAGGTAACACTTTGGCTATCATATCCTCCTCCCTCCAATCTGTGCATTATCATAAAGACAGGTTCTAATGTCTCCTCCCAGAACCAAAAGGACTTTGAAACATTCTTCCTTCTACATAGTCAGAACAATATAGTTTTATTTTCACTAACTTTAAAAATATTAAGGAAAGTAGAGAACAATATTCAGATTAGTTATAAAATTAACTTTCCTATCTCCTTCTATAAGTTTCTAGGATTTTGTATATTTGGTGTATAATATATTAAATATGTCATATTTTTATATGCTTTTAATCACAAAAAGATTCTTGCTTAAAACAAACATTTTCTAAAGACATCAAAGGCCATATAGAAAAATGTAATATAAAAAGTATTTGCAAGCTGGGCATGGTGGCTCCCCACCCACCTACAGGTGGCTCCCATGCGTATAATACCAGCACTTTGGGAGGCAGAGGTGGGAGGACTGCTTAAGCCCAGGAGTTTGAGATCAGCCTGGGAAACATAGCAAGACCCTGACTGTACAAATAATTAAAAAAATTAGCTGGTCATGGAGGCTTATGCCTGTAGTCCTAGCTATTTGGTCTTGAACTCCTGGCTTCAAACAATCCTCCCACCTCAGCCTCTCAAATTGCTGGGATTATAGGCATGAACCAACACACCTGGCTTAGCCTACCTATTTGGGAGGCCAAGGTGGGAGGATTGCTTAATCCTGAAAGGTTGAGGCTGCAGTGAGACATTATTGCATGACTGCATTCTAGCCTGAATAGCAGAGCAAGACCCTGTCTAAAAAAAAAAAAGAAAAGAATTTGCAGTTGTAATCCATAGCTTATTAGCAACAGAAGAGAAATAGCACAATATTTGCTAATACCACAAAGGAACACATATTTTTAATAGCTATCTTTCGTGTGTTTTTATTTTAGGAAATGAACGCTGTTAGGCAATTTAACCCCTTCCTTGTGACTTTTGTTGTGATTTCCAAACTGGATATCTCTTACACAGGCATTAACAAGCAGGTTGACTGTCAGGACAAGCCCAGGGGTGGCATTATTTGCATTTGCTGATGAATGACTCTTTGGGGCTGTAAAGACTCATACCCAAGGAGTGACTCAGAAAGTGAGGGGCCCATGCTGTTTGGCTCTGGGCTTGGAGGTGCAGAGCAGCAGCAGCAGGACTTGACAGCCCTATGGCTCAATCAGCTTTCTGTTTTCACTTCCTTATGATGCCATGAGTGGAACTATTGGCAAATCAGAGTTCACACCCCAGGTTTTCAGTCTTTCCCCTAATTCTTGCTCTATCAGAGGTCAAGGACAACAGTATAATGATTCATAGGCTCTACTTCCTGGCAAGTAATCATTTTCCCACGCTGAATAATGATTTATGAGTGGTAAAGAATGTTGATTTGCTTTTTTTCTGTGTGGCCTTTCTGCTGACAGAGGGTTGGCTAGGAATACTTTGTTTCCATTTGTAAGGCCATCCAGAAAATGTTAAAGCATTTTAATTTTTTAAACATAGGTGCTTTAAATATATATTATCCATAAAGAAGTGGAATGATCCCTTTATATACTTTGTTAAAAAATGAAGACAATTTTGAAATTTCCTTTTTTATATTGGCGTGTGAGGACTCAGTATGCCTCGTAGAAGTCAAGAGCTGTAGAGGCCTTGTACGAACCCACTTTTTAGATGGGAACACTGAGACCCAGAGAAGTTACATGAGTTGTCCATTTCCACAGAACTGGTTAGTGACAGAGGCAGATTGAGGCTTAAATTAGCTCATCTTAGGATATGATTTTATCTAACATTAGGCTACTAGTACCATGTCAGAAGGAAAAAATCTAGGTTTAAAGAAGTCTGTGACTTTCACAGTTAGTCACATGAATTAATTAATGACAGAAAGGTCAAGGGAGAAGCATAGTAATTGGTATCGGATGGACCTTGGCTTGAATCTTGGCCCTGGAACTGGGTGATGTTGGCTAATTTACTTAATTTATCTGAGTATAGTTTCTCACTTCACAGATGAGAATGGGGATAATAATGTCAATTTCATATCATCTCATGTAAGAATAAGAGATAAGGCATGCAAGGCTCCTGACACATGGTGAGCTTTCAATAAACAGAAGCTCTAATTATTTTTTAAAACTAAGCAACACCTGTCCTTGCTTTCTGGTGTTGCTTTCTGGTTTTCTGTCCTTGCTTTCTGGTTTTATTTTCAAAGCAGCCGTAGTTATACTTTGCA